CTCAAGCTCTAATGCCAGTGGATAAATCACAGAGCTATTTTAGCGCAGGAAATATGTGGCGACATTTTGCAAATATTTTGCCGTGCAATGCTTTAGGTTCAGGCTCTTCAGCCCTCATGCTTCAGAACTAATCCAAACATTGTAATAAGTTATTATGAAATATAAGTTATGATTGAGAAAAATCATACATTGCTACAGTATTAACACTACTTCTTTTAACAGTGCAATAATTTAGTAACTAATTTTATAAGCATTTGAAAAAATCACAGTACCATTAAGTTGGGGGGGGAGGGATTTTGTGGTGGTTTTAAAAAATAGTTACTAATGACTTTACAGAAATGCATGTGTCACATGCGAGCTGAGTAAAAAAAAAAAGATGCAATGAAATATTTATCTACACTGGCTTAAATAGAGCAGAAAGTCTAGATTCTTTAATGATGTAAATGGGTACAGTTGTACTGACCTCAAATGGAGAATTTAACTCCACAGAGGAGCACAAAATCTTGTGCATGTCCCCTGAAGTCCGGAGAAGACTCAGCTGATGACTTCAGCGGGGCCAGGATTTCACCCGTGCTAGGTTAAATTCTATTCTGAATTCCACCTATTTTTCAAGGGGGTGTAACAGAGCAGCATTTGTTCAAGCCTTTCCATGTCTTACACCTTGTAACAAAGACCTTTTAACGTCATCTTTAATTTATAGATCTTCACCTTTAGTAATCAAATGTGCATACCTTTAAAAAAACATAAAAGCAAAACAGAAAACCACTTTTCCTACTAGTAACTCAGTCAAAGGCTGGATTGCAGCAGAAGGTGGTGAACCTGACCCAGCCAGTACAGGTACAACTTAAGCAAAGATAGACATAGTGGCATGGATCTGAAACTGGGGTTTACAAACCTCCTAGAAATTCGGTGCCTTTTTTTACTTTGAATATCTTTCTGTGTCTATGGTCATTGTCCAGCCATGCTGCAATTTCCCTTCAACTACAGCATCGACAAATTTTCAGCTTTTGAGGCCTCGTTGAGCAAATCTGCTGTTGGCTGTGGTTTGTTGTAGGAAAACCACAGTAAAAGTACTTCTAGTTTATCACAGTTTTGTGTGAATGAGCATTACCCACCGTCTTTTAACAACCAAGAACTTTCATTAGGGTAACTTCCCTAAACATTTCCCAGATATTTGCAGAAATCTGAAATATGCAGAGACATGCCAGAAATAGCTACCTCATCAGAAAATATATACATTTTCTCCTTGTTCTTAGCTCTTTTGGTAAGAAATAACAATGGAAAAATTAAAACTAAGCATCCCAATTATGTGCAAATTACACTTTGGAGTTGGGTACGACTGCTTCCTTGTCCTGCCAGCTCTCAGGAACACCTCGGGCCCGGGGACACAGATACCTGTTCAGAGTTCATTGGAGAGCAGGAAAGCAGAACCACAAGTTCTTAGTGGGAGGTCCACTCACACTCTGGCAGCTGACCAAGGGAGCCCTGCAAGTGCTAGGAGTTCCTGTGGATGTTTTCTGCAGATCCCTCGCTGCTCTCGTTGAGGAGCGTCTCTGACACTTCCCCCAGTTCAGCATCCAGCACTTCCTCCTGGATGGTGAAGTGCACATCTGGGGAGGAGGATTCGGAGCTCACACTGCTGCCTTCCATTGAGCAGATGGCACAGGACAGGGACGGCACCATGCTCTCCTGCAGCATGTTCAGCATCATGGGTATCTGGACAGATTTCAGCCCCGATATGGTTGGTAGAGGCTTCACAGCTTCCCCCCATTCTCTCTCCTCATCTTTGTAAAGCTGAAGCAAATTGGACTTCTTCTCTTTTCTTTTGGATTTCATGTAGCCAAGCATTATCCCTATCAGGAAGATCCCGTAGAAAGACATAACGATCAGAATGTAAAAATACTCGTTGCTGCTGTTCTTCTCCGTGTTGCGGGATTCAGCATTAAGCATGGCTTGGGTCATGTTTGCATGGTCCATCTTCAGCATGGAAAGTGTTTTACCCCAGCTAAAGCCTGGAGGAGAATGTGTATGTATACGTAAGATCAAACTTCAGATCAAAGATGTAAAAGAAATATTTGAAAAAAAGATACTCCTAAACTATTCCTTGCTACTTATAATCTTAAGCTTGCAAAACACACACCTGATTGAAGCTTGCAGTGTATCGTACCTCTGCATTAATACTGTAAGTGAATGAACTGTTATTCAGACACAGAAAATATCAGAGGAAAGAAAACAGGTAACGTTAAATCGTGTGGAGTTCTATGCTGAATTATAAAACCCTCAATCCGTGTGATTAAAGAAAGAAAACTACATAGAAACACTCTGCTAGGCACTTAAACACAGTTTTGTGCTACTAGACCATGTTTCCATGGAGGGAGGAAAGTTAGAAGTAGTATTTTATGAAATGATGCAGGAAAAAATTTAAAAAGCAACTTACGTTGGTATGCAAATAATTCCTCCTTTTGCAAAGCTCAGCAGACCTTTCCTCCACCAAATGCCGAGTGTTCTGAAAACTTTCCTCTGCTGCAGTTGGAATAAATAGCTCTCAAGAAATGTTTCATCACGTGTTTTAGGGCACAGTTTATAATAGTTTTGTGTTGGAGTCAACAGATGAACTTGAAGGATTGCAGTTCAACCCACTGAACTCTTAACAGCTGTGAAAAGAAAAAGAGTTGGGAATTCAGATTTTACTCTTTCCTAACCAGTTCAGCACTGGCCCTTTCAGCTTCTGAAACTGTTCTTTTCACTGCCTTCCCAACTGCTATTGACCTGTTACCCTGAGAGCTGCTATGCAGAACGGAAAACCTGCAAACCATTATTCTGTGTTTCTCATACAATATGGAAAAAATATACATGTGAATTTTATAGTAGACACTATGAAGTTATTTACATGCCTTCTGTACATAGTTTTTCCATGAAGAGATGGAGGAGGAAACAGGTTATTTTCTTTGCCTGGGACGAGTGACAAAGCTTTAGAAAACGCATGCAAAACAAAGCGGTGACTTTCAGCTCATGCTGCAGCTTCTCCTTGCCACAAGGCCTGGGGCTGTGGAGAACTGGGCCCTGGGTACCAAGTGAGTTTTGTGTGGAGGGGTGCTGGTGCCACTTAACTTCGGCCATCAAAGCAGCAACCACAGGATTTTGGTTCCCCACATAGTCAGTGGAAGGGTGCAGACTTCCCCAGGGAGCAACTCGGATCTCCTGAAGTCAGCAGCCCCCTTCTCCCACTATTCGTAGAAGCAGCTGAGAGTTGTGTTGTCTGCAGGCTGTTTATGCATAAATAGACCAGGACCACTGAGTTGACGCAGATTTTATATGAAGGGTCATTAACAACTTCTGGGCAGTGGGTACTCTCTGAGCAACTGCTGGGGGCTGTTGCTGCTGGCTGCTGGGCTGAGCAGGATGCCTCCCAGACCACTGGGGAGGGCAGTGTCAGGATGCAGGCTGGGTCACGGGGCTCGGAGAGTTCCCAGTCAGCAGCTCAGTGGTACAGGAGGCTCTGAGGCCCCTTTTCAACACGTAAGCAACAGTACAGGCCATGGGAAGAAGGAGGCCCAGTGTGCACCTCGGGGATTTCACTTCCTTATCCTCTCCATCCCTGTTCTTCACACACAAAGCCCAATTAGTCAGGCCCCACATACGTGATGTGAATGTCACCCCTTCTGCAAAGCTTCAAGGATGTTTATGTAACAGGACACTCCACTTCCAGAAAGTAGATGACTGGTGCTGGAGTTTCCCAATGGTAGGTCCGGGGTTTTCCCCCCCCGCTCCGCAGTCACTTGTGGATTCTTTGCACAGACAGCAAATTCTTTTCCAAACTCTGCCCTCACAATCCCTCTGAGGTAAAGGCAGATAGGATTAACCTCTCTTCACATGTAGGAAAAAGCAAGAGAAGAGTTAAGCAACTTTAAATGAAGAATTCAAGGAAGGACAGAATTGTATCTGTGTTTGGAACCAGTGTTTTCCATCATTGCTCTGAATGACTACACAGAGAAAAGAAAAAAATTTACATTAGCCAGATTCCCTTTTCTGCCCCTTAAAACAGAGGATCCACCCTTTAGGACGTTCATTTTATCTCCTTGTGCATTCCCATGTGATAGCTCAGGAGCTGTTGATGTTGGACTAATGTCTACTGGGATTTCATCTGACAAAATCTGTCTGCAGCACCAGCTTGCCAAGTCTGGATTCTTCTTCCCGGTTCCCAACAAATTACTGAGCAGGCAGCAAGAGCATATTAACTGGTAGTCTAAAGCATAACCCGGAGCAAGTCTCTGGATTTTCTAGCTAACTTTGAGGAGTTTTTATTTCACATCTTTTTCAGGTCCATGTGATACTTGCTCCCCTATTCAGCTCCAGAAATTTGGAATTTGAAAAATTGAAGACAATGTGTCAGGTTTTAACAAAATCCTTTTATGCAGGACTTTCACGGAATGGTTGGGCCAATTCCATTTGGCTCAGTACAAGGAGAAATCCCTTCTCTGTGCCCGTGACACCCAATGGAACCAGCCCTGAAGCTGTTTGATCCCGGAAACAAGACCACCTAAAGCCTGTCCTGCTGCCTCCTGTCATCAGCGTTACATACAGGTCATCACTCGCCTCAACGGGAAGAGCACTTTCAGACACCCGGAGGCACCAACACCCTGTAGCTTCCACCAGTGAGCCAGCAGAGCAGAGGCAGACCATCTCTTCTGCCAGTGCCCGCAGGTGCAAAAAGGGTCTCTCATTTGCTCCAAAGCCTCTTATACTTCATGTAGGTGAAGCTCTGTACAAAGTTACGAAGACAAACTGCAGCACCCAACAGGAGCACAGGAAGACCGGCCAGGTACATCCATATGCAGTCACGCGAAGTTCAACTGAAAGATAACTGAATTGTATGATTATGCACAGTTATTGCCGAAAACTCTTTGCAACTATGTTTACTTTGGTTAGCTGATGACAACAACTCTTCTCCATCTGTTAGCCCATTATTTCTGAAAAACGGTTTAATTTTAAAAAGGCCTGGAAGGAATCCTTCAGCCTTCTATAGACATGAAGAGGAGGGATAGGAAGACACTGGGGAATAACCACCTGAAAAACATATGCCACTTCCTTACTGGTGCCATAAGTCAGCTTTCTCAATCTGTACCCTGTAGAAATTGTATTTCTGTCTAAAAACAAGACCTAGAAAATTGAAAATTGGAGCCTTTTAGTTTAGCCTTTCAAAATTACTTTTGATGCAAATTATATTGTAAAACTGTTGATCATGGCTTGTTTTATTTGAAGTAATCTGGTTTTTGCAGTTAAATTTACTAGCTATTTCTTTTTTGAGGTTTCTTTCTTCCTTTCAGATCAGTTTTTTTCCCCCAAACTTCACAGAATTTCCCCTGAAATTTCACTTACAGATCTCTTAGGCTTTCAGCAATTGCCTCTCACATTTTCCTGTTCACCTTCTTTGCACCGGCCCCAGTCTAGGCTATAACATTGGCTGGGTAGATGAGGGGAGAGTCATGGATGTTGTCTACCTAGACTTTAGCAAGGCTTTCGACACGGTCTCCCATAACATCCTCCTAGGGAAGGTCAGGAAGTATGGGCTGGATGAGTGGTCGGTGAGGTGGACTGAGAACTGGCTGAATGGCAGAACTCAGAGGGTTGTCATCAGCGGCAGAGTCTAGTTGGAGATCTGTAACTAGTGGTGTCCCCCAGGGGTCAGTACTGGGCCCAATCTTGTTTAACTTCTTCATCAATGACCTGGATGAAGAGTTAGAGTGTACCCTCAGCAAGTTTGCTGATGACACCAAACTGGGAGGTGTGGTAGATACACCAGAAGGCTGTGCTGCCATTCAGCGAGACCTGGACAGGCTGGAGAGTTGGGCACAGAGGAACCTGGTGAAATTCAACAAGGGCAAGTGCAGGGTCCTGCACCTGGGGAGGAACAACCTCATGCACCAGTACAGGCTTGGGGTGGACCTGCTGGAGAGCAGCTCTGCGGAGAGGGACCTGGGTGTCCTGGTGGACGACAGGTTAACCATGAGCCAGCAGTGTGCCCTGGCTGCCAAGAAAGCCAATGGGATCCTGGGGTGCATCAAGAAGAGTGTGGCCAGCAGGACAAGGGAGGTTCTCCTTCCCCTCTACACTGCCCTGGTGAGGCCCCATCTGGAGTACTGTGTCCAGTTCTGGGCTCCCCAGTTCAAGAAGGATGAAGAGCTACTGGAGAGAGTCCAGCAGAGGGCTACAAGGATGA